CAAATTTAAATTTGGGGGCTCTATTTCTGCCAATATAATCTTTGACTGCAATCGGCAGTCCAATGATGAGAGCATTCACACACCAACTGAAACCTCATTGTAGCTCTGGCTTTGCTGTTTACAGTTGGCTCTTTGTATGAATCACATACTGTTACTAAAGGTAATAATACAAAATAGTTTGCAGAAATTTGTCGTAAAAGCTTAATGTGGTACCGGTATATACTTTTTAAATTAGAACTGAAACAGCAATATGCAAAAATAACCTGTAAAGCGACAGCATCAAACACATATTGCTTTAATAAATAAAAATCTATTGAACTGTACAATTATATCAAATAACCAATAAAACATCCAGCATATCTTTGCTCTTCAACGATAACATTGTCTCTAAAAAGATTCAATGATCATTCCTCTTCTTTGTGTTAATCTAGCCCCATCAGTAATAATTATTTTATCCTGTATAAGTAATAATTTTACATTATTAAAGCTATATTGATGTAAACATACATAATTTCTTCATGAAATTGAATGTTTTGTTGCATCTATATGAAAATCATTATAGATGCTAAAGAAAACAAAATATTGATCCTGGGGGCCCTCTTAAAGCGCTGGGGTCCTAAGCAGTCACCATCATGCATGTTGGCTGAAAATCTGCATATCATCATTAAAAGTTGCATCCATACCTGAAAGCTAGATGTCATTCACCATTCAGCAAGAAGGCTTTCATTGTTACATTAACAATTATAAAAAATTAAGTTAACTTAATCTAAGTAAACAAGTTAAAGTAGTTGCTTTTTCTCCTTGACTTTAAAAAAAAATCGTATTTCCTTAAAACCAAATGATTGTGAGGAAAAAACTGGAAATGATTGTTTCTGGGGGGTTTACATTCTCCCATTTAGATGCTGCATCTCAGCCTCTTTTGCAGACTTTTCTAAGTAAGGAAGTGTCTCCATCTGCTGGTGAAAGAGTGGAAATGTAGTGACCAGCAGGTGTGTTAAAACAAGAGATAGAAAAAGCAAGCTGTAAGCCAAATATTGGCCCTAAAGTTGCACAAGGTAAATTGGAAGTATATGATGCAATTAAAAAACAAACGCTATAATTCTATTTTTAAAAGTTTCCAGGTTAAAAATGAAGTTTTTTTTTAGTAGAGTTACATAAATCAACCTCCTACACTAAATGACAACTTGAACCAGGATGATTATTAATAAACAGTTTAAAGTGGAGGAGGCGTGAGTTGTAACCAAAAATATGAGTGCCGTTGTTTGACCAACAACCCTGGGATAAACACAGAGATGTGGAAGTGGTCCTTCCGTTGCAGCAGCCCGCACATCTTTGGGGGCGACTGTTTTGCTTCTTTTTTTTTTTTCTAGCTGTGGATGTGAGCAGGAGTGGCGCTCCGAGGGGTTTAAAAAGGTAGCGCCACCAAACTTTGGCGCAACAGAACCTCTGAACTTCCAGTGGAAACCAACAGGATGGATGTCAGAAAGCGACCGGGAATGAGGGACACCATGCTGGCTCTGCTCCTTGCCGTCCTGCAGGGTCTTCCCATCGGTGAAGCAGCCCCGAACCCCTCACCGCTGCTTGGATCCAACTGGGGGAACCCCAGGAGATACGTCCACCTTCAGACCTCCACGGACTTCAACACCTTCTACCTGGAGATCAGACTGGACGGCACTGTGTGCAGAGCCACAGCCAGAACATCTTACAGTAAGCTCTGCTTCTGATCAGGCTGTTCCTTAAAGGTTCATATGTGATCCTGACATCTGCGCACATCTTTCCAAGGTGGTGAAAAGTTTACTCTGTTTTTTCTCCCCTGCAGGTGTAATTCTTCTAAAAGCTGAAACACGGGAGCGAATGGCCATCTTCGGCGTCAAAAGCAACCGCTACTTGTGCATGGATTTGGAGGGCAACCCTTTCACCTCGGTAAGGCAAACAATAACTAATAAATCTCAGAAATATATAATGCAAACTAACCCGTGTTATAAAACATGTTTGGCACCTGTTACGCATTTTCTCCCATTTTACGCACGAGTCTGTAACATGTTTTCATTTTGTTTTGTTATATCTAATTTTGAATGCCTTTAACTTTAATCACAGCCCCCATTCTACAGTTTTATATTATCATTTCACTCTATTTATGCCATTATTGTGCGTTATGGCGCAATACGAACTTTTACGCACAACTCCTAACGCGTTCTTCTGCTCTTTACATAAAAGTTAAAAGTTGTTTCATCGGGAGATTTACACCAAGGAGCTTTTTATTACAAAACAATTTTAATTTGTCATTTATATGGTAAGTAATCGCGCCACTATATTCAAGTTGAAAACAACTCAGAAAATGCAAATTTCTCTGTTTTTGGAAGATAGATTTAAACAATAAAATTAGTCTGATTGGTTGAATATGAAAAATAAAAGTAATAACTAACCGGAAAACATTTTTATTGTGTAGATTTACAGCAATACCTCTTTGTTTTAATTTTTAAGTCTGAAGATTTATTTTTCCCTGAATTATTCCTTTAATGGACTAAAAATAATTTTTTCCCGAATTCTCAACTTGTTGCTGTTAAGAATATTTGATTAGTGGAACAATAAGCAAATTGAAATGTAATCTTTTTTCCTATTTTCAGGCCTATTATTTCGTTTTATTTAACATTTTAAGTATAATTTTATGGCTATATTGTGTATGGATCTGATTCATTGCAAACTGTCAAGCTACCGTCTGAAAATAGATTTTAAAAAGTTGTTTCTTTTGTTTTTTTTAACCTTTGTCAGACCTTTTTGTTTAAATTTAAATGGAATGACAGTACAAAATCAAAAAGTTCTATCTAAAAAGTGTCTGTAAGGTTGAGCTTTTAAATTATAATCTTAAAAGTAATGATTAAATTGCACTGTCCAAAAAGTCTTCGCCCCTGTTTAGTGCTTAAATTATACTAGTTTATTTTGAGTTGAACAAAAAACAGCACTTGTTAACAGACTGTTAAAATAGATGCATATTAAGATTAATAAGACATTACATTTTTTTCCAAATGCTAATTTTAATTCACTTATAAATTTTACAAGCAAAAATATTAAACAATCCAATTAAATTTCTTTACCATTCACTAATAAAACAAAGGGTTCAAATTTCACCAATAAGACTATCATTAAACTTAAAAGATTTTATCCAATAATTCTAGAAAGAAATGATTCCAGTTTAACAGTTAAGACAGATAAAAACATTCACCCATTTCTGATCAAATTAAAATGTTTAAAATTATTCATTCAATTCAAACTCAAATAAGTTAAATTCTTACTAACTATTGAAACTATTTGTTATCAAATTAGTTATAAACGCTAAACATCACGGCTAACCAGCATCTTTAGCATTAGCACTACCACTAAGAAGATACAAATTAAATTTCTTTCTTCAATAGCATATAATCTTAAGATTATATATTTATATATATATAAATGGCTTTCTTTCCTACAATCTTTGAGTGAACCAACAGCTTTGTTTAACCATCGCTGTTATCAAATCAAAGTAGTTGATGTTAGAATTTACAAGTTGTTTTGAAATTCAACATTTGTGGCTAAAAGTGAAAAAGAGAATCTATGGCTAATATTAAAGACACTCTAAAATTAATTTTCATAGTGTATACTGATAGAACAATCAGCATATATCAGCATTGATAGGATCTGTTGCATAATATATTTTATTAATCTGAAACTGAACTGAACTAACTTAATAAAATATGTTTTATAGTTTTCAAAGTTATGAAACTGAAAATTAAGTGTTGATAAATGTGAACCATTTCTGTCTTATAGCCTGTGTGTCTGAGGGAGGAATGTCTGTTCAACCACAAGCTTCTGGAGAATAACCGGGACGTGTACTACTCCACCCGGACCGGCATCCTGTTCAACTTGGAAGGCTCCCGGCAGGTGTACTCAATGGGTCAGAATCTGCCGCAGACCGCCCTCTTCCTACCCAAGAAAAACACAGTGCCGCTGGAGCGCCTCTTGCTGCACAGAGAAAAGAGGAACCGAGTGGTTGACCCCTCAGACCCACACAATGTCCTCCTCGGGCAGGCAGAGGAGGGCTCAGACTCCCAGGCTGTGCGAGAGGATGACGGCGAGCTGGAGGTGGAGATCGAGGTCGGGGATGACGGCATCAACGTTTCCAGGGAGACGCTGCAACAGGCTCCGTCCAACCAAGACCCCTGGAACGTTCAGTCTTTCAGACAGACTGGTCCAAGGAACACCGGCTCCGTGGGCTGAGCTTAGAGGGACAAACTACTTCTAGCTTAGGCCAAACTGCTGGTGGATCATGTAGAAACGCAGCGTGTTGATACAATGAAAACGCAGCATATCACTTGAGCTATCAATTTTGCACAATTTATATTGTATTTAATTAATCTGTAACATTTGCGAAGATGGGATAATTAGATAGATTTTTTAACATTTTAGTTTAGTTAGTTTAAATGTAATTTCATTGTTAAAACACCAAAGGTAAACCATATTCCACATATTTACTTGGTATCTTTTCCAAAAACAACAAAATTCAGAAGAGAGAATATTTTCAAATGTGTGTGAGAACTTTTTGGGTTTCTTCCCAGACTAACAAACCCACAAAGATGTTTTTCCAAGGCAGAAACCCTAATTTATCCTACCTCTGGAGGACCAAAGTGTACATATAAATACATGTAGGCAAAGCTTCCATTACAGTTAGGGTTTTAATTCAATGCTTTTCCATTTCAGATATCGAAAATGCGAAAATACAGGTTGAAAAATGTTTTTAAAAAGCTCTAAATTTCAGCTCCAATTAGTCTTCATGTGATAATCAGGTGCTGGACACCACCAGCAAACACAAAGAACAAAAAAATACCCCAAAGTGTATTTATTTATTTAAATCCTTTCCTTTATTATTTATAGTATTTATAAGGATGCTTTGCAGTAACCGTGTACATACAAAAAAACAAAACAATTAAAGGTGTACTTTGAATGTATGAGCTGGAGTTGTTTTGGAAGGAGAGTTGCTTGAATTTGGGATAAAATAAAGCGAGAAAAGGAAACACTGTGTGTTACTTGGTGTGTAAACATTTGTGATTGTAATAAACATGTCTTACACAGATTTCCACTCATTACTCAACATCCTGACATTTTATCTCAATCCATAAATAACATGCAAACAGGTAAAGCAACACTTTATAAAGCTTGTTCATCACTTCAATAATTAAACCGTTTTATTTAATCTAATCTTAAATCTAAACCACTCCTTTGTTTAAATGAAATTAATTCATCATATTTCTAAAATACTTTTAAAATCAATACACTGCAACCTTTAAAATGATTGGCACCCCTGGTGAAGATAAACGCATTTAAATTTATTTGTGTTTTTATATCTTTGAGTGCAATTATTCTGCAATGGAGATTTAGCAAGTAAAGAAATAATTAGCAGGGGAAAAATTAACTTGTTTAACTTAAACACATGAACCAAAAGACTCCTTCTGGCAACACAACAGCACCTAATCTGGTTCTAAGGGATCTTTTCATGAGCGACTCTTAAGATCACCTAGTTTTCCCTTATGATAAACTTACTGGATTTCTTCTGGAGTTTGAGTTTTAGGCCAAGATGGATATA